GAAGGTAGACCTGCCCCTGATTTCCAGACCTCCTTTAATTTCACAAGCCTTCATCGGCTGCCATTGTGAAATCAAGATGAAGAGGGTAGTCAAGTACTTCATCTTTCTGGTTTAGAAATCACATCCTAAAGAGAGCCTGTCCAATGCCCCCACAATGGGCTCACATTCTCAGTGCTTATGGTCCTCAGGGGTCAGTGGTAGGTCTCATCAGACTCCATTCAGATTTCCTTTCTCTCTGTATCAACCAACAGGGCTGATCTCCTTGAGAGCAGGGACCCTGGGTGTGGTCCCCAGTGAGCGCCCATTTGTCCTGAGTCAGTGTAGCTTGTGCCATGGCGGGGTGCTGTACAAGGCTCCTAGTCCATCCTCACCAGGGCGGTTCAGAGCACTGAGGAGGATTGATGTAAAAGGAGGAGCCAGGCTGTCTCCACAGCCTTGTTCAGCCTTGGGGCATGATAAAGAATGGCTGCTGGGCTCTGGAGAGACAGAAGAGCCTCAGGAAAAAGCCCAGCTGAACCAGAGCTCAGGGGCTGAGGGCAGAGAGAGGCTCTGACCCCAGAGGAGATTTGGAAGTGGTGCCTGTGGAGGAGATGAGTGTGGACCCCGGGCCCTGGGACATTCCCTGTCCCCTCTTCAGTGCAGTGGGCCAACAGAGGAGATGCTCAGAATGCTGTTCCGTGCGCGTGGAGCAGGGTGGAGTTTCAGTCCAGGTGCAGGTGGCAGTTAGGGTTCAGGAACTGCTTGCTGCTGGTTAAACCCTGCAGCATTCTGCAACATGGACTCCAGGGGGCGCGTAAGGCCATGCTTTGTCCATGTGCTGGTGGGAGATGAAGTCAAACAAAATGTGGGTTCCCAGGGGCAGCCCTGACATAAAGGGTCCCCGCCCCAATGCTCGTCGGTCAATTTCCCCTTAAGTCCAATTGTCCTGGGCCTCAAGAACATCACATCCTTAGAGCAGATGGCTCCTGAGAGACTAATTATTCCCAACCTATGACTCATAGTAACACAGGGGAGGCCCAGAAGAAACAGACTTGCTCAAGGCTCAGAAGGATTGTAGAGTTAAATTTTAAAGAATCTAAATTAAATTTATGTTTAAGAGTATTTCATTACATTTTCTTTAATTAGACTGTATGTTACTGAATAGTATAAGAAAAATAAAGCAAAGTTATAAACATGTATATGATAAACACAAATATTTTAAAACTTCATATAAAGGAGGGGAGGGAGCCCTCTCTGTCCTGGCAGCAGACACACGCTGTGGCCCAGGATCTAGGACCTCAGGTTCTGAAGGAGCTGAGGCGAGTTTCTCAAATGCTGCAGGTGGGTCCACATCTGGAAGTTCAGTGACAGCTGTGCCCGGAGCCTGCTCTGGCTCAGGAGAGGGCACCAGAGTTGGCATTTCCTCTTTAGGTGTTTCTGGATCTTGCTCTGGAGCTGCTTCTGTAGATCCAGGAAAAGAACATGTTACCACCATAACTGCCTTTTGTGTGCCTTCCAAGGAAGGAACCTCCCATCTCCATCACTGAAGTCCCAGTTCAAGCCCCCACCCCAGGAAGTCCTCCTACTGCAAGCCATGGGCACTGACCTGAACCCAGGCTCTGGGATCTCTTTCTGTGGGCAGCCACATCTCCTCCCCACTCACCCACACCACCCAATCCACATGCACAGCTCTCTGACTCCTTCCATTTTTGCGAGGAGAAGCCCTCAGACTGTAGATCAGCGATACTTTGAGGAAGAAGTCATACCGACTGTCCTGTGGATGCTCCTGCCTGTGCAGCCTAGTGTGACTGAATCACTCCTGACTAGAAGGAAGCGCTGGAGTGCAGTCCTGGGGGCAGGGCCTTTGCTGAATGAATGAGCCCAAACCACCCCCATCTCAGATAGCTGCATGAGCCTGGGGTCCCCCTGCTCACTCCTGGGATTTCTAATCTGGCTTCACCCAGGACAGGGGCCCCTAATGGAATCTCCAATGTCTTTATCAAAAGAGAAAATAGCTTAGCCTAAGGCCTGAGAATCACAAATAAGGTATAAGCTTATTTATAAGGAGAAGAGAAAATGGCCAATAGGAACAACCACAGCCCCTCCAGCAGACCTCTCCAGTGTCGAGGTTCCTAGTGGGCCTTTTCCCAGGGGAACACCCCCCACCACCACCACCAATAACCCTATGAGTCTGGGCCTAGGCTCTCCCCATGTTCAGAGAAACAAATACTCAGAGAGGTGCAGTGACCTGAAGACTCACACAAGCAGGTGGCTGAATGACCACTGTTCTGTGGAGGGGCAGGGCTCACCTGACATGGTTGGTCCCACACACATTGGTTAGTAACAAATGTTCTATATTCACACAGAAGGGTGGGTAAGACCAAGGTGGGACCAAGGTTGGGAAGCTGCCCAAGAAGCTAGTTACCAAGGATTTGACCAGTTTATCTATTCCATGTTCCTGGGCAGTCTGCAAGGTACAGATAGATATCATCTGAGGATCAACTTTATTTGGAATCCAGAGTGAGTGGTGCTGAGGCCACTTGGCTGGTTGACAGCTGAGGCTCAGGGCTGGGATGACTGGCCTCCATGGTGGGCTCAGGATGCCCCCAATGGGAGGCCAGCCCTTGGCTCTGGCCACCCAGCTCTGAGTCTGGGCACAGGGTGGAGCCAGCTCCCTGGGAAGCAGAGTCCTGGCTCCAGGAAGGGCAGGTGGAGAAGGTGAGGACAGTTCTCCCTGGGTGGGTCAGGGTCCAGAAAAACAGACTTGCTCAAAGCTCTGAGGGTTTATGGGGTTAAATTTTATAGAATCTAAATTAAGGTTATGTTTAGGAGTATTTCAGCAAATGTTTTCAACAGTACACTCTATGTTATTAAATATCATAAAAGTATAGTAAAATTATAAGCATATGTAACATGAACAGAAAACTTTTAACACTGCATTTAAATGAGGAATGAGTGGTGGGCGCCCTCTCTGCCGTGGCCGCTGACACGCGCTGTGGCCTAGGATCTGGCACCACAGGCCTCGAAGGAACGGGGGTGAGCTGCTCAAATGCTGCAGGTGGTTCTTCTGCCTCTTGAAGTTCAGTGAAAGCTGGGCCTGGATCCGGCTCTGGCTCTGGAGAGGCCACGAGGGTGGCGTTGCCTCTTGAGGGTTTTCCTGATGTTGCTCTGGAGCTGGTTCTGTGGATGCAAGGAGAGGAAATGTTACCACCCTCACTGCCTTTTGTGTGCCTTTCAAAGGCACACTCACCCACACCACCCCCCAGAGGCCTCCTCCTCCTGTCTCGGCCTCAGTGGGCTCAGGTGCTCCCGCTGTGAATGGAGGCACTGGGCCTGGTTTGGCAGGTAGGAGACTGGAAAGGTGAGCTCTATGGAGGCCAACAGCATCATCAGGCTGGGAAATTCTGGAGGTGCTGGTCCAGACAGATGCCCAGGATGCAGGAGATGGCCCTGGGGAGAGAGAGAGGTGAGCAGCAGAGTGTGAGGCCTGGCCCTTCCTTCCACACAGCCCTTCCAGAGCACCACTCAGAGAGCCTGGGGTCCTGTGTCTGCTGCTCCTGCCCATCCAGAAGCCAGACCTACTCCTTGTCCACCTTCAGCCTGGCAGTCCTGGCAGAGACGTGCCTGGTCACCCAAGAGGGACTGGCAGAAAGCCCTCCTACCTGACAGCTCTGGATCAACGAGGGAACCACCTGTCCCCTTCTTCAGGGGAACCTGACATGCTCTCTCAGTGTTCCTGTCCCCTCTGATACCTGCCCACCGAAATGTCAACTCCATGAGGACAGGGAGGGCTG